GGAAAATCAGCCTGATAATGTCTTCTTTGTCAAAATACACCATAGAAACAGGGTATTTAGATCAGATTTGCACTGCCTCATTGTTGGTCTCTCTGTGTCACCGTTTAATAAAACGCAGCTTTTAGCCCGGTGGATCAACTGGATGTCTTCAAGGAAACATTATTTGTAGTATAAAATTCTCTCTTTATAATTCATTTGAAAGTGTTTCTGTGGTTCAGCTACAAATGAGAGACTGTAATACAAAAGGGGGATTTAGATCAAATAGATGGATATTTTAGAACACTGAATCAAACTGTTCAACACGGTGTGGAGAATTCATAGTCATGATATGAAAAACCTTTAAGTAATGCACCAGCCTGTGCAGTCACCTAATATCACTTTATACCTCAAGATGTGGCCGTGAGTCACTGTAAATTCCAGTCTCCACTTAGTCCAATTTGAGAGGAAGTAGCTGTGCTTAGTAAACTTACTTTTCTATAGACAGTCTATGATTCTGACCACTTCTCACTCGTGCTGAAGGAGTCAGTGAATTAAACTGCGACAACAAACAAAAGACCAGCTGAAGCTTTTGGCAGGATGGAGATGAAAGCCTGCCAGCAAAGCACCCCTTTTCCCCATGCCCACCCCCTAGCCAGCTGCGTCAGGCAACACCAAGGCCTGCAGGCACGGTCTGTCCAACAAGCTGAAATCAAGTAGCATCGAGAAGATCATTATTCAGGTTGTTCATTGGATGATTTATATGCTGTAGCAAAGTTCAGCGATGGTAAATGCAAACGCTGGTTACTCTATTGTCCGTGCACCCATAGAAACGACAGACAGCCAAGTTAAAAAAACAAAAATGGCAGAACTGCTACTGAGCACTAAATGAGGGATGCTGCATATTGCAGCTTTAAAGTACTGTGAAACTGTCTTTCAGTATGCCAGTTATACAGACATTTAATCTAATTTCAAGTTATACCCCTGATTACTACGGATATACTACAATATACTACTGATTTTGTTTCTGGAAATATTTTTGCAATTGTGTTGTGAGAGGAAATTATGTTTTTCTAAGCACTCTGAGATAAACCTCTGACACTGTGCTTAGAATATATTACCCTGCTTTTCTAAATGTTTCTAAATGAGGCGACCTGAGCCACCTCTTCCATGGCTCAGGGGGTTGGGAAGCGCATCTGTAACCGGAAGTTCGCTGGTTCGATCCCCGGGCTCTCTGTCCTGGTTGTTGTGTCCTTGGGCAAGACACTTTACCCTACTGCCTACTGGTGTTGGCCAGAGGGGCTGATGGCGCGATATGGCAGCCTCGCTTCTGTCAGTCTGCCCCAGGGCAGCTGTGGCTACAACTGTTGCCTCCACCAGTGTGTGAATGCAAGAGTGAATGAATAGCGGCATTGTAAAGCGCTTTAGGTGCCTTGAAAAGCGCTATATAAATCCAATCCATTATTATCATTATTAATATGTCTATTTAAGCATATTCATGAGAATCAGAAGGACCACTCGTCAGCCATGGGTGACGGGTGGTCCTTCTGACCACTGTGTGTGTGTGTTTACCTGTAGATAGCAGTGGCAGGTTGGTTCCCTGGGTCATATGTGACCCTGACATGACCCTGATGGAGCTCCACAGCGATTGGCTCATTGTCCCCGTTATAGAGCAAGATACCATTTTCCTCTGCTGTTGACACCTAACGCACAGACACGCACAAAAACACAGCAATAAAGGTCTATGTGTGTGTGTGCCTGAACCTGAAATTGATTTCTGACACTCTTCCGTGTCTGTCACCGAACACGTGCTCTCGCTAGGTGTGGACTTGTGAGCATGTTCTCACCTGTAGCGTGATGTTCGTTTGAGGCCAGTTTTTGACATCTTGAAGCTGAACATAAGAATCCCTGTCAACAAAGTTGACGCTGACCAGCTTCTCACAGTTCTGACCCTCAAAGCCTGGCAGGCACTGACACACTGCAGTCCCCAGCTTTTCCTCACAGAGGGCACCGTTCTGACACTGAGCAAGCTGGCAAGGCAGCGGGGCAGGAAGGGCCACCTCACAAAACTCACCACTGAGGAGGAAAAAGAGGTCATAATAAAGGATATCAGACGTGACATACAAAGAAATACAATGATCCCACTTCCTACCATGATAATCAAACCAGCACTATGGTCTTATGATGATAAAGGAAACTCACAGTACCCAGTTTCTTAGATTTGTATCTGCACAGTTCAATGTTTTTTAAGGTTGCCAGCACCTGTATCTAGGGCTGGGTATCGTCACTGATTACTAGAATCGATTCGATTCCGATTCACAAGGTCCTGAATTGATTCGATCCACGATTCGATTCAATTCGATTTGAATCTGGGAGATTTTGCCTCAGACAGTCAGAAATATTATAATTCAGATCAGTACATTTACATATTTTTGTATCTATAAAAAGGAAGCTGACACTCGCAAGACTTTATCAAAGGTGTGAGCATCACAGCAGATGCCTTTGTGTCAAAGTAGCTGAAACACAGAAAAACATGGTGATTTTCCTGGCCTGGGATTTTATAAAAATAGTCTGCAGTACATCAAAAACGAAAGAAAACCATTAATCAACTTATGAACATTACCTCTGAAGTTACAGCGGTTTTATTAGAGACACAGCTGAGCGTTTTGCATTTTGCATAATTTTAAAAAGTTTAAATTTGTTCAG